AACTTTTCTGGGTGTCAATTTCTGAACCAATTGTCCACCTCCCTTATTTTAATTTCACCATCAAATTTCCTCAGTTTGCTTATGAGACTGTTTCTTCAATCTGTGTCAAAAGCGTTAGAAGTCAAGGTAAATCACGTTTACTTCTTCTCCCATCCACTAGATCAGTTACCATGTCAAACAAGGAAATTAGGTCAGTTTGGGATGATTCATTCTTGGCTATTACTTATCAGAAAGCAGACAGGGGGCTGCAGACATGGGAGTTTGAGAGGGACCGCAAGAGATCCCACCACTGAACAGGCTACCTGGTGAGAGTGAGAGCAAGAGTACTCGCTTTTGGTATGAGTGAGTTTGCTCAACTGTTTGAATTTTGTTTGTTGAATTCTGATTTCAGGTGACAGCAGTTTCAGTTTCAGCTGCTGTGGGACTGAGTGCCAGACCCTTTGTTCCCTCAATTGCTCTCTTGATTGCATCTGGTCAGCCTTCCCCTGTGTAACTCACAAGGGGGCAGGCCTGGCCTAGGCAAGCAGGCTTTAAAAGTCAGAGGCAGAGCTACCAGGGAGATTTGCAGGCCTCCACCTTCTGCACTCTGAGTGCCGGAGTGGGAAACAGCCCTGACAGTAAGTATGGTAAAATTGATGTTTATTGACATTTACCAGTAAAATCCTTCTAAGCCTAAATATGATCAACTGAAGCTCTATATAAGTTCCTGTTCTATGCTGGCTGGCCCTGTAAGAGGGGTAAGGTTCACCCTTGTCTGTGACCATGCATCTCCCCAAACCACCTCCACCTGATCCTCACTGACTCAGGATCAAGTGACTGGGGTCAGTTATCAGACCCAGATCAAAAGCAGTTAAGTGATTTCCCTAAAGGACAAGAAGAGTTCCAAGAAGAAAGGTACTGGACCAAAAGGGATATGGCTGCAAGAAAAGAGGAGACTCATGTGGCAGACCTGAGAGAAAGTCAACTCTCAGGCAGATTGCCTGGAGATAGATTACAGTAAGGATCTAGCCTGGGAGAAAAATGAAGGGAAAATCCTACCCTGTGTAGGAGGCCTTTGTGCTCAGTGGTTCTGGTAGGAACAGGGTCTTCAGGAAGTCTGAACAGTCAGCACTGTACGAAAGAGTAGGCTAGATGTTGTGGAACTTTGGCCTGACTTATCTGGTGGCTAAGTCACTTCACCACTAGACCATGTTAGAAGTGACTGCTGATCAATGAAGACATAAAGGAAAATTAAACAAGGTGAATAATGCCACAGCAGATCACAGAAGTATACTGCAGAGGCTGATCCTATTTCAATCAAAAAAAAGTATGCATTTTCCCCAAGCAATAACAAGAAAAATGTGTTCAAACAGAATACTGTATCTACTTTAGAATCTGTGGGAGTACAGCTGGCATTTGGAATATACTTAACGGGGCAAAACAACATTAAATGACAAAAAGTAGTATTTCCTGTTTTTCTGTGATTTAGATTGTGAGAAGTGATCTTAAAGAACTTCGAGATATTGATCTAAATGGAGCTCCTTATGGATATGCTCCCTTTTGTGACAGTCGCAGAGAAATGGATGGGTACCGTTTTTGGAAATCAGGATATTGGGCATCACATCTAGGAAGAAAGAAGTATCACATAAGGTAAGAGTATTATTTTATGTTTTTGGACAATTTATAAATGTTTTAATTTTTTTTCAATAAGGCACACAATAATAATCACAGTCTTAGATATTCTGAGAGATGGAATGAAGCATAAAATCCAAGCAAGATGGATTGATATAAATCATGATCTAAAATTACTGAAGTGAAAGTTTTGATTTAAATAATCAATTTTAATCAACTTTTCCATTTGTACTTCAGCTTTTCCTAAAGAAAGGAGCATTGTCATTTCCTAAAGAAAGGAGCAGGAAGAACTGGAAGTGCTAATAAATAAGTACAATTATGAAATTGTTGGCATCACAGAAACTTGGTGGGATAATACACACGATTGGAATGTTTGTATGGAAGGGTACAGCTTGCTCTGGAAGGAAAGACAGGGAAAAAAGGGAGGAGGTGTTACCTTATATATTAAAAATGAACACACTTGGAGTGAGGTGGAAATGGACATAGGAGACGGAAGTGTTGAGAGTCTCTGGGTTAGGCTAAAAGGGGTTAAAAACAAGGGTGATGTCATGCTAGGACTCTACTACAGGCCACCTACCCAGGTGGAAGAAGTGGATGAGGCTTTTTTTAAACAACTAACAATATCATCCAAAGCCCAAGATTTGGTAGTGAAGGGGGACTTCAACTATCCAGATATATGTTGGGAAAATAACACAGCGGGGCACAGACAATCCAGTAAATTCTTGGACTGCATTCGAGACAACATTTTATTTCAGAAGACTGAAGAAGCTACTGCGGGGAAGCTGTTCTAGATTTGATCCTAACAAATAGGGAGGAACTGGTTGACAATTTGAAAGTGAAAGGCAGCTTGGGTGAAAGTGATCATGAAATCATAGAGTTCACAATTCTAAGGAAGGGTAGAAGGGAGAATAGCAAAATAGAGACAATGGATTTCAGGAAGGCGGATTTTGGTAACCTCAGAGAGCTGATAGGTAAGGTCCTATGGGAATCAAGACTGAGGGGAAAAACAACTGAGGAGAGTTGGCAGTTTTTCAAAGGGACATTGTTAAGGGCTCAAAAGCAAGCTATTCAGCTGTGTCGGAAAGATAGAAAATATGGCAAAAGACCTCCTTGGCTTAACCACGAGATCTTGCATGATCTAAAAATAAAAAAGGAGTCCTATAAAAAATGGAAAGTAGGACAAATTACAAAGGATGAATATAGGCAAACAATACAGGAATGCAGGGGCAAGATTAGAAAGGCAAAGGCACAAAATAAGCTCAAACTAGCTACGGAAATAAAGGGAAACAAGACGACTTTTTATAAATACATTAGAAGCAAGAGGAAGACCAAGGACAGGGTAGGCCCACTG